TTTTTTGTAAATTACACAGTATTTCGCTGTAATATGAGCTGCATTTTACTTTGGGACAGTTTTGCCGTATGTTACTGTATTTTAAAGTTGCTTTGTGAATTATTGTATATTTTGCAGCAAAGATATACAATACTGTAAATGCATATACAGCAATTGTTGCTGTAAATGATAATATGGTATTTTTGCTGTAACTGTTGCCAGTAAGTTAACTGTAGATTCTACAGGACATTGTTAACAGTCTTCTATGGAGGTGCTGTATGTAAATTTTTGACTCTTCTAAAGCATTAAAATAGCATAATATGGTTGCAGATATTTAAGAAACATGCTAAGTGAACATTCTTGTTTATCTAAAAAACAATGCTAAAGTTCGTTTTTTCTGCTTTGAAAATGTACTTTCCATGCCTGAACACTGTCAGAGGCTGCGTATGAAACCGCCTACTACTCAGTAGGTACTGCATTTGAATTTAAATGTACTACTCGTCTGTTAGAAAAGTGCATTCTATACAGTATTAATGTGAAAAGTATGAATGGAATTTGGACGTACTACATCCGCCATTTTGTCATGGTCACGTGACCTTCCTTCGCTTCACTCCCATTCATGAATTCTCGCATACTGATTTTCGAATTCTATGAATTTGGACATACAACAGTACTTTGCTCGCATACTGATTTTAGTGTACTATATAGTATGGAATAATGCGATTTCGGACACAGTGTTTGTTTTAATTCTTTTAACCTGCACAATGCCATGTTTAGCCAATTATATTGCAGCAACCAGGGTGGCCTTGGTGGAATACCGCATATTTCATTCATTCATTCAGAAAAGCTCTCAAAGCATGCGTCTGTGACCGAAATTCAACCTCCAGTGGACAGTAGAACACTCCAAAATGAGATGCAGATTCAGAGTTGCACATGAGGTTATTAATTAGCAAATAATATAAATATTATAAGCATAAACATTAGATGAGCAGGTTACATTGTAATCAGTGTCCTAACAACACGCTACATGATGATGTTTGCAGTGATGAGCAATTTGGCTGTTTGCACCAGACAAAACACGAAAGAAATTTAGATACAGCTATTCAGAAGCTTAAAATATGCACTCACTCATAAAATGGTTAGATTTATGGAAGATTTATAAACCTCTTTAACATTATTAAATGTACAAGTAGGGATGCAACGATTAACCGGTTTCACTATTAACCGCGCTTTAATTCGTCACGGTTAAGTCATCGTAAAGGCTTCTCAACACTGTGTTTCTGCATGAAACAAAACTGCTGCAACTAAACTGTGCGCTAGTTTGTCACTGAGACTGATAACTATGCACACTAGACTAACTATGACTGAGGCTATTAACTAGGGCAAGCTTGTGCAAGTTTATTATTTTCACTGGAGGGACCATAGACTGTAAAATGTCGGGAGGGGCGCGCACACGACCCAGCGCGCTCATGTTTTCAGGCGCACCTCGTTGGGATGACAGGGCACTTTGGTGGCTGAAGTCTGAGGAAGAATCAGCACTTGAAAAGTAGACAGGTTTGCAGACCCACTTAGAGTTTTTATTAATGGCGCCGATAAGAGCGATCATGTAGTGAATGTTAATCCACCAGCCGAGATCAACCGAGTGATTTTGGAGAGAGCGCTGAAAGACTCGGAGTGGATCAGCTGTTTAATGGCCTGAATCTCGATGCGTTGCATTCACCGCACGTTCAGCACAAATGTCCGCTAAATGTAAAACCTAACACTGTACACATCAACGCCAAAGAAGCTCACCTTTACTAACTTTAAACTGAAACTGCGGCTCACAGTGACAGTTTTGTGCTGCAACATGACAGTTTTTGCTGATGGTCATCGCGAGAATCCTGCTCTGCCCTGCTGATATAGGCTGGCTGACTCGCCGGCTTTTTTCACAAACACAGAGAGATGAAAATCAGAGCATAACGAGACTGAGCATTTACAAAAACCAAACCCAAACCAAAACTTTTAAAGAATTGCAGAAGTGAGACTTTTCTTCCTTTCTTTTGTCCATTTTTTCTGTTTATTAAATTGACCAGCATATAAAACAATAGTGCAAAATAAACATTTGTTACTGCAATGCTTCATGTTTTTTATGCAAACCATAGATTTTTTTTTATAAAGTAACAGTAGGACTTTTTATTGCCGATAACTCACACATTCAAGGCAGAATAATAATGAGAAATGTTATTCATTGTTAGTATTATTGTTATCATCGTCATCATTAATATTTTATAATTATTAGACATTCATTTTGGATATATTGCGCAAATATCAATAAATCATCAGCATTAGTTAGATAGTTGTTTCTGGTCTTTGTTAGTCCTAATTGATGCTGTTTTCAAATACAATACATCCGTTAATATACAAGTTGCAGTGGTGCTTATTCATTTTTGGTGGGTGCTCCTAATTTTAAAGTTGGGAGCACCAGCAATTTCAAGCCCTGACTTAGACAAATACTGTTTTTTTTATTTATTCTTTTTTTTATTTATTTAATGTTCTGTCATTTATTTACAGTGTAAAATTATGTCTGTTTAAATGTCAAAAACACTCACTTATTTTTAAGCACATAAAACACTTTTTTATTTTCAATATCTGAGGTGAACTATCTGCTGCAACCATCATTGTCAGTTTTCTGTTGTTCCGTTGCAAGAAATAGAAACCATTTATAATGTATCAATTCGAGGTGTTGATTGGAACAAAAATGGAAGATATTCCTTCTATCGCTTGCCGTTGCTTTTATATAGAACACAATTTAAATCTGCCTTAAGCTTAAATTTTCAGGCTCCCTCCAGTTGGTCAATTTGGCAACCTGCACTTGCATTTGTTTTGATCAAGGAATGCAATACGTAGTTCAACCATTGGGTGTCAACTTGCTTACTGCACCTATAAAATGAACTAGTTCTGTTCTGTCAATATGCTTCTTAGCAAAGGTTTTTCTAGCCTTTTTTTCCAATTCTATTCAATGTATATTATTTTCTATAGCTCTTATTACAATGTAGATTCTGTCAAAGCAGTTTAAAATAGATGCACTAGATGACTAGTAAAATTGAAACTGCTTCAGTTTAGTTGTCACAGCTGAAGTTCACTGTAATGTAAATGTCACTGCTGAAAGCCCAAACACAATAGCCACTCCACCGATGTGCAGCTCTACAAGTCCCAAACCAAACAAGCAAGTGACGAGGAACAAACTTCACCAATTGACAAAAAATTACATTTTCTTAATTCTATGTTGAGATATTCTTCTTTGCGTCTTTAATGTACAACCAGTCTTTTTTTGTGTACTCGAATGTGTTGGAGTCTCTTTAACTGGACAACCTGCTGTCAGAGGGTTTTCAGTCTCGTTAGTATGGCTTACCATTTTTCAAAATCAGTGTAAACTTTTACTGGAAAGCTTCACTAAGTTAAAATTGTGTCTGTCAGATAATTTACCTCCAGACTAAATTTGATTATGTTCAAAATCATTGCTTAAGATTTTTTCTTCTTTTTTTCTTGAGCCCCCATGCCGCAAATATCCTATGTAAGTTTTTATGTCCTACTTCTCATGAAATGTGCCTCAAAATTCAGTTGCTTTAAAAATGCATTGAAAAGGCTGAGGCCGTAAAAGCTGACAGTGTCTCCTCCTGGTCCTGTTATCTGGATTAAGTGGACTGGTTGATGTTGTTTTCTCAGTGGAGGGCTTTGACTGCTCTGCCTGGTGAGTCCAGCTTCTCAGCACAGCCTCACTGGCAAAGAGCATGGTTTTCTTCTTCTGCTCGCACCACGCTCTGTTTTTTCAGCTGGATCACAGCGTTTCACCGGGAACTTCACCAGCTCTTAGATTTGATGGACCTCACACTTGCACAAGGCCTTAGCCACTATCTCAAAGAAAAATTCTAAAGAGAGTTGACAGTGTTTGCAACCTCATTAGTCGCACTTGCTAAAGCTGTCGTGTAGACTTCCACTGAAGGAGGAAGCTGTGCTGTTGTAAGGCAACAGAATGTAATGAAGATTTAAGGTGTGTTTTTCTTTATTTGTTTTTTATTTATTAATTTATTTATTTTTACTTTAACACAAGAAATGTAAAAAAAGAAGCAATTGTTCAGAAATGTATTTTATTTTTTTTTTATTTTATTTGGAGTTTCATTGTCCTAAGATTCATAGAGAAGATTCAAGTTGCTGACAGATATTAACACATTGCTAAAAATTAAAAATAAAATAAATTTTTTTGCTAAAAAAAAATAAAACCTTGAATTTTTTTCAACAGTTTAGTTATGTAATTAAATTTTTTTATGTTTTATTTTTATTTTATATACTTTTTCTTATTTTTTATTTTATTTACTTTTTAATTTTAATTGCATTTTTATTTTATTTTGTTTGGAGTTTCATTGCCCTAAGATTCATAAGATTAGATTCAACAGTTTAGATTTTTTTATTTTTATTTTATTTTATTTTATTTTATTTTATTTTATTTTATTTTATTTTATTTTAGGAGTTTCTTAGTCCTAAGATTCAAGATGCAGACAGATATTAACACATTCCTAAAAATAAAAGAGTGGTCTTAAAATGGCTCCCTTTAATTTTTTAAATGGCTCTCTCTCCATCTAAATCTGAGGTGCAGTAAATGTTTTATGAACTTAAGGAAATGTTTTGAAGAACATGTAATATCCAAAGAAAAGTACCTCAGCCATTTAGACACTGATGAGTGCTATTAGACTGACTGAGGCACACCGGCCTAAACATTTAACCTTTTAATGTCCATTTCAATTAGTTTCATAGTTAAGTGCATAATTAATTAATGCACTAATCCAACTCATTGCAATCTTGTCTCTTATTCAGTCAGTATAGGGGTTACAAACGTGAAATAAAGTAAGTAAAATAGTAAATAAAATAGATTAATATGTCCAGAAAGAGCAATAGATGAAACCAGGTCCAGCACAGGTCAAATGGTAGAGCATTTGTAAATGTCAAAAACGGAATAAAATCTCACATTCATCTTGTGGTTTCAGAGTTAAACATCCTCTGGGCGGGCCATCAGGTTCATCACAGTTCTGAATACTACAATCTGTCGACAGCTCTGCGCCAGTCTGTCACACAGCAGTTTTCCTCATGGGTATGAAGCACCTGCGTCTGTCTCATTCATTTATGATCATTTTTGCCATGAAACATGGTTGATCAAATAACAGTTGTTAGTTAATGAGCTCAAGCTGGTAGCTAATGATGTGTTATGACGTGATAATATTCGATGTGTTTTATCAGATATTTTACTCTCCGTTGGCGCTGCTGATTCCTCCTTCAGTGTTTGCGGTACATATACAGTTCAACCTGCTGTACCAGTTCTGGATTCATACTGAGGTATTGTGGGATTTGTTATTATTAATGGTTATAAAATTTTTGGGGTAAAAAAATACTGTCAAGGCTTACAGGATTAATGAAATGATCTTTAAAGGGGTCTTAATGTAAAATGTTTATTCTTCAATAACAGATTTACTGCTCATATTTGAACAGCTTGTTATGAATTTTACAAAAAGATGACATATAGGACTTTATAGGTTTTCTATAAATTTATATAAACTTTTTTTATGTGAAGGACTCTTAAGGGAAAAGAATTGGGATGTTTATACTTCCAAGAGCCACTTCAAGCTGCACTCTGAAAAGCAATAAGTTGACTTTGCTTGAGTGGGTAAACTGATGTCTTACATTTCTTTTACAAAGTATACTCTAACTTAGCCAGATGTATGTTCACTACCTGACAAAGTCTTGTTGTCAATCTCCGTTGTAAGAGCAGCAAATAATAACTTGTCTTGACTTCTAGTTGATCATTAGGAAAAGTGGTAGAAGGTAGATTTTTCTGATAAATCATCTGTCGAACTGCATCCAAATCTTCACAAATACTGCAGAAGGCTTATTGGAACCTGCTTAGACCCAATATTTTTTTAGAAATCAGTCAAGTTAGGGTCTCTGTCAGTTTATTTTATAAAATGTGGAACCCTATTTTTTCTTTTTTCGAAACCTTACCCCCCTTACCTGGGGTAAGATGGAGGAGGCATTGAAGATGAATCCAAAGAATCTAGATGAACTCTGGGAGTCCTGCAAGAATGCTTTCTTTGCCACTCCAGATGACTTTATTAATATTAAGCTATTTAGTTATATTTAGTTATTTGAGTCATTGCAAAGATGTATGGATTCAGTCCTCATAGCTTATGGTAGTCTAAGGGGCCAATCACACCGAATGCGCCTTTACGTTACAAAAATGCGAGGCGCACCACACTAAATCAGCTGGGTATTGTGCTGGAGTGTTGCTGTTGAACTTGGTATAATTTTAATATTTAATAATATTGTGATGTTCAACATTTGTAAAGTCATACAACTCTGGATAATTCAAAACTGCAACTACAAGTCTCTCCTCCATCTTCAAAAGTCTCCATAGTTGACAATACAAACACTGCAGTCACCTCAACAGAAACCCTGGCTCTGCTTTCATTTGTTTTGTTCGGAGAAAGAAACAGAACGCGACCGACGTAACACACTTTTTCTGCTCAAAGTTGACTTTTTTTCAACTGTGAGTGCACAGCGCACAACCGAAAAAACATGAGTCGCAGCAGGGCGCACAAGCAGCACACAAATGCTCGCGGCTGTTTGTAAACCATTCAAAAGAGGCGCCTCTCAACGCAAAAAGCGCGTTTGGACGGATTGGCCCCTAACACGGTATTTTTTTTTTCCACTGCACTATGACTTTTTATTCTATACTGTACATTATTTCTGTTAATGACAAGACTTGTCTAAGCAAAGTCAGATCTTACTATCCCTATTAAATCAAGGCATGATCAAATTTTATTTTGGTCAAATAAGTGTAACCTAGACCCCTTTCATATTAGCCACTTCTTATACCAAATGATCAATTAGAAGTCAAGTTATTTTTTGTTGTTCCTAAAACTTGAATAGGTGGCAAGACTTTTGTCAGGTAGTCTATATTCCTATATAATTTAAAATCAAACTATCATAACAGTGTAATTTTAATAATGACCTGTTTTGTAAACATAACACAAATTGTAGGGATGCACTGAAATGACCTTGTTTGGCAAAAACTGAAGCCAAAAACAACCCAAACCATTTGTTATTTTATTAAATAATGTAACCCAAAATTTTTAATTATACTGTTAAAAAACCCCCACACATGTTATTGACACAGAACGATAGACGGTGAGTTGAGAGGTTTTTATTTTAACAGTGTTGCCATGACAGCACAGTAGAGTCATTGCAAGCGGCAAGAACCAGTGTTCCATATGCATGTTATTTGAGAGCAGAATTTGCTTTTCGTGTGATCATCTATGGTTCATGCATAAAGTAGATAAGTATACATGAACTGTTTTGAACTATGACTACAGTGCATGTCGACTGTATATTTTGTTGCTTATGCACTTTGGTCAGCTCAGCAATAAAACATCCTTGTACAGTGCAAGCCATTGAAAAGAATGGGTTTCATACAGCAACATCAGCTCAGGGATTTTCACATCCAGTGTGAAATAATTTGTACATCAACAATAAATTGCAGAGCTTTGACCAGATGCTTTTTTAACTGCTGTTTTCTCACCGCTGTCATTTTTGTTGTATGTTAATTTTATTGTTGAGAGGAAAACACCTACATGCTACTTATACTTACTCAGTATGTCCAAATTGTATGTTTTATAGATGTAAATGTTGCACACTAATTCCTATGTATAAACAACAAGACTAGGCTGGGGATTGTGAAAATGTGTGAATATGTCGTTTAGCAAATCTAGCCCTGTGTTTATCCTTCAAAATCTTTTAGTAGCACATTTTTTCACCATCCTTTCTCTTAAAAATTCCAGCTTAGTTTCTCTCTATTTGTAGGTTTGCAGTTTCTGCCCAATCTGTGGTTCTGAATACCACACTCAATCATAAGTAATGAGATTTTGAGATGTTATGAAGTACTCCAAACAGAAGCTTTACGTTTGCCTTTTAAATGGGCCCAGTTTCGGCTCTACATTCAGAGATCATTTGGGAAATGGATTTGGAATCACTTCCATCTTGTAGAGCTCTATTAGTGAAAACAGTCTTCACGTCTCCAATTTTCTGAAGGGTATAATTTATGCCCCCTTTATGGGCTTTTTTTTTTGATGTCATGTAATTTATTGGCGCCCTCATCCAACATTAGAGCACGAGTTGAGTCGTGAGGGAGCTCTTTTCTTTTAAGATCTGTTGCCAGATCTCTCATTACATGGAAATAATGGCCGACTAAAATACGGTGCTCACTTATGCTGAGCTTTTCCCATTTTACAGACGTCAGAACAGTCGAATAAAAAAAAAACAACAACCTCATGGTCGGCAGTAACACCTGCAATATATGCCTCATCTAGCTGAAAAAGATGTTTATATCCTGGTGAAATAAGGCAAGAGTGTGCATTCATGCATGTAACTCACCATAAACCAGTGAAATGACACTCAAACGTGGGTGAGTGTGTGTGTGTTGTCAGACCAATTGGCTTCTTTATGCTCCTTCTAATCCAATGTAATGTTTGCTTTACTTCCAATCTATAAATATTGTTCTTTCCATCTGGAAATTTGGCCACCTTTCTCTTTCCGTAGTTAGCGGAGTTTTTCGACCGAGCTCATCAGATAAGAAAACACTATGTATTAATGATGTCTCCAAGTACATTTACGAACATCTGAACCAGTCAAGGTTCCATGATCCCCCGAAGAGCACATTTCTTCAGCGGTTTAAGCCAAGATAAAGACAGGCCACTCAACAGGGAGAATTAATCACATGCTGTATGTAAGACTAATATTAAGATTCGGTCTGCCTGTCCATATGAAAAATGTCAAAAGAGGACAATGGGCTAACCCACCATCATTTGTCTTTTGCTGTTTTGTCTGTGGCTTACATGTAGTGCTGTATAGGGAATCATGTGTTGCTGTCACCATTTTGATCATGAAAGGATATTAGTAAGGTTAAGGAGATGGTTTGTCATAAATGAAAATTCTGTCATCTCTTACACACTGTTGAAAGCAATTAGTTTTGAGTAAAAGTAAGTCAGTTGCCTTATACCCCATTTACACGGGGCATCAGCGTCAATGCTTCCCATTCACTTTGAATGGGTGACATCAAGTATTTCTGAACTAAATTGTGGATGCGTCTCTGCTGCTTCAGCAGTGTAGAAGTTGAGAATTTCTCAACTTTTCAAGCGCCAACGGAAGCGTCAGCCAATCAAATCACTTTATTTAAATACCCCTGCTCAGACAGTAGTCGATTGTGGACTTATTTTATTGGCTGATGCTGTTATAGCGATTGAGTCAGCCTCAATTTCAGACACGCCCTCCGTCAAGCGTTGACACTAAAGTCTCACGTGAATCAGGTATTAAAGATGCAGTATGCAAGTTTGACACCCAGTGGTTGAACTAGGCATTGCATGCCTTGGGGGTATTCCATAAAACTGGGTTAACTTACCATCTGCTAAACCCTGAACTCTCGGTTAATTAACCCAAAACCTGCTTTCTGTTTGTTGGATTTTAAAACAGATGAGATGAGTTAGTTAAATCAACCTCCTGAATATAACCGCGTGTTAATGCCCTTGCAGGGTGCATACCTTAAGGTATTTTCAGTAGATCACCAAATTCACGAGTCACCATAGAAATTGATGGTGAGAAAAAGGGCAACACATCTTACAGAGGTGGAGTTGGGGGTTTTAATGCTTGCTTACGAGGAATTTAGACCGATCATAAAGAAAAAGCACTACACATCTGCATCAACGAAGGAAAGAAATATAAGAAATAGATAAGAAAAGAGTGACTCCGTGCTCTGAAACATCTGTGTAATGATACGCAATTTTTTATGCCCAAGGAGCTGTACAAAAGTGTACAGTTCAGTGCCAGACAGTACAGATGGTTCTACACACTATTGCCACATTGTACAGCAAAATGCCCTGGCGCAAAAACAAAGAGCTGCACTGAATGTTTTCTGTGGTAAGCGCAGACCCGTGGTTTGTCAAGGTTGATTTAAAAAAAAGTTTCACGACACCCCGGAGAACTTTTTTTTATATTAACAGATGTGTGTGTGTTGAGCATCAGTTAAGACAATGTTAGCACCTGTCAGCTTTAATTGTGGGGTAAACTGGATAATTTTGAGCTTTTGTCAGCTAATTTCAGCTTCCGGGTTTAAAATGATTTTTGGGGCGGGATCAAAATCGGCGACGTAGCGCAGAACTGCAAGTGCAATGATGACGCGTCGGTTTCTCATTATTATTCATAACGGAGTTTTCTTATCCTATGAGAAGAGCCGACTGCTTAATTATTCATGAGACCTGCCAGACCTGCCAGTGTCAAGCCCGAGCTGAGAGACACGGAAACCACGGCACAGTATTTAGCCGTTCATGAAGGCTCATATGCGTTTGTTTCCATCATCCACGGGGTTTGTTGCATGTTTTACCCCGCGATCTTGTCAGGGCCGATCATACAGCAAAGCTGTGTGCGTGCTGCTAGCATTTTTGTCGGGAGAGCAGCACGAGAATTAGAGAATGGCGGATGCTGTGTTTTATCAGGAGTTCGTTCACATTCAGACACATCGCCGTGCTGCTGTGTTTGCCTAAATCCTCCAGATTACCATCAGGGTTAATGGTTAAAATAGACGGGTCAGGAGACCTGCTGCACTAAGTCTGCTGGATACTGGAATTGAGGGAGAAGTCCTCATTTATAGGGTTTACATGAACACACATCTTTATAATGATATAAATTGTGGTTGTCTGTATATGAAATTACGAATAACAAATGTAGCAGGGCATTAAATCACTGTTCATTTCTTTGCATTTTAACTTTGTAAACTATAAACTCATGCGTCTCCTCTTTGTGTCTCATTTTGTGAGCTAAATGACAACAGCAGTTATTCGCTCCCCTTCTCCCCTGCTGGCCACGCCCACTCCTGCCCGATGCTCGCGGAGCTCCACGCCCATTAATCATGCATCTTTTGAAAAAATTCTGAAGTAGACTTTAACCGAAAGAGGGGGGTGTCATGGCCCTTTAAATACATTAACGAATATTTTTAAAAAGCTCATTCAAACATTAATTTGGATATGAAAAAACACCTATGCACTTATATAACCCTCTTACGATGAAAAAAAACTTGTATATCTGTGCCCTACATCCATTAAAATTCACATCAAAAGAGCATGCAATGCAGGTTATCTTCAGAGAGTATGTTGCTGTGGCTACTTAACATGCCCCAAAAGTTACCTCCGTTTTCGGAACCAAAAGCTGAGGTTATCGGCTTACATACTCTTAAACTTACCCGGGTATGTCACATAACCTGCTCTCTGGAATACTCCCCTGGTTTAAAACACACACAAGTGCAGGTTGCCAGATTGACGACACCAACATATCAGTGATTCAGAAATCTCATCACATAGCATGTTGTTAGGACACATGGCTACAATGTAACCTGCTCACCTAATGTTTACATTCGTAGTATTTATATTATTTGCTAATTAATAACCTCATGTGGAACTCTGAATCTGCGTCTCATTTCCTAGGCTGCTACTGTCCACCAGAGGTCGCATTTCAATCATAGACACATACTTCAAATGCCTTCATGACTGAATGAGTGAAACATGCGTTTTTTCACCAAGGCAGATTTCACGTGAAGATCAGTCGATTCATTAGCAGATCGCTCATATGTCAGCTTATAAACAGACCAGCTGATCTTCACGGCTTTAAAACGCTCCAGTGTCCCTGTATCTGTTCTTACACTCAGTAAACAGTGGTGAGTTTGGTTAACTGATGACTTTGACATCCAATCACAGTCATTTCAGTTGAGCTTGTGAACACAGTGGCAAATCAGCAGTGTTTAGGAGCGTGCTCAACAGTGCTCAAATGTTAATGGGAAATGGATGTTTTTAAAATGTCAGCACCAATTGTCAATTTTAATACTTGCATTTATTTAAAGACAGTCACAATTTGTTCAGAAGCCATTGTTTAAAAAAAAAGCTACAGCTCTAGTAAAAGCTATTAGTAAAAGTTCATTGCTTAAAAATGTTTACTTTTAATAAACTGGAGCAACTGATTCAGTGTAAGGTTGGAAAGGAATAATGTACTGTACGTGTTTCTGCATGCTCCTCACGTAATCATATGACCAGAAGACATGAAATACAATGTACTGTGTATGTCACATGTACCAGTTTTATGATATTTTATGGTGTTTTGCATTCTGATTTGTAACTTTTAGAAGAATATTATCTTTAACCTTGGAAAAAAATGTTTCTATCAATAGCTGGTCAAAGATCTTGGACCTCTGGAGTTGATCCTAAATACTCCAAGCCACCACAGAGTTCACCACGGTAAGCATCATTACCCTTTGAAAGTAGATTTGCATTGGTGTGTGTTATCTTTGTGGGTAAAAAGTGAAGAATATTTTGTTTGATTATTTGTCAGTAAGATTTTCTTATCATGTGACATGACTAACACTGTCTATACCCTTATATACTGTAAATAGAGTAATGCTGTAATAATGGCTATCTTTGCAGTAAATTGTTAATATTTGACCATGCACTCACAGGGCGAAATCCATATTGCATTGACAAGAATTATGCAGGAATTCTAATCATATGGGACAGGATGTTTGGTAAGTTTCTGTGTGCTTTTTGCAAAAAAGTGATTTGAAAATAAGCCTTTTCAATGGATTCAGGGCAGCACATTAATCTCTTTCATGTTTTTGTTTTACTGTTTGTTGCATAAAAAAATAAGCCCAAAGTTTAAAGTAGTCGTGTTGTTTATAACTTACTGTAAAACACAAAATGCTGCAGAACAAATAATCTGAAATGCACTTTTATGTTAATTGTAACTGACAATATGGAAATGCATCCAGTCCAGTGTGATCTTCTCTGTTGCTTTCTGTTTTAGGTACATTTGCTCCAGAAAGTGATAAAGTTATCTATGGACTCACACACCCAATCGGCACATTTGAAATTTGGTCAGTTGAGGTTGGTAAATATTTATAATGAAATATATTTATAATTATATGTAATATACATTTAAAATTTTATTTTAAAAATAAGTATAACAACACACTGCAAATCTAATAACAGAATGTCTAAGATTAAACACATTAAACTCACATAGAAAATAATACATTTAGGAAGAAAAACAAACAAATTAATTGATTAGATAAAATAAAAAGGCTATAATATTGGTATAATATTTAGCAATTAATGTATTTTTATTTTACAAATATATGCGATATTAATATTATTTGAACTACAGATTACAGCAATATTCAAATTAATACTGATCTATTTTGAATATAAAGTTTTTAAATCCAGTCTAAACATTGAAAAGCAATTAAAATAGTTAATATATGCTCCTTTAACATTTTTGCATAATGTTTGTATACATGTTTCTTTTTCTTTTCTTTTTTTTACTAAAAGTGCATTTAATAACTTTTGTTAATGACAACAATTGGGAAAATGTGTGTAATATATTTGTATGTAATCTGATAATTATGTACCCTCTCCTTTTATAATTATTTTATTTTATTTATTTTTTCATTTATTCTTTCTGGTTAAGGAATTTGACATGAATTTGTTGCATAATGAAACCGTACGTGCTGGTTTTTGTTAATAAAACAAAAATCCACAAAATACTTATGTGAAAAATATAATTGTGACTTTCAATCTCAAAATTCTTACTGTTTTTCTTGCAATTACATTTTTATATCTCATTGTGTTTTTTTTTTTACAAAATTGTGCTTTATATCTATAATTTCATTAATTTTTATTAATAGAAAAATACTATTTATTAACAAGTTACTACCAATGATTAAAATAAATTAGAATTACAGCATAAAGTATTTATTGCAAGCAAAAAAATAAATAAAGCATTTTTTGGAAGTCGCAAAAATGTCACAATTGCAAAATATTAACTCATGATTGCACAAAAAAATAAAGTTACAATTGCAAGAAAAAGTAAAGTATTGATAGCAAGAAAAAATATATAAAGTGGAAAAAAATACAGTTGAAGTCAGAATTATTAGCCCCCTTAAAATATTAGCCCCCCTGTTTTTCCCAATTTCTGTTTAACGGAGAGCAGATTTTTTTCAACACATTTCTAAACATAATAGTTTTAATAACTCATTTCTTATAACTGATTTATTTTATCTTTGTCATGATGACAGTAAATTATATTAGACTAGATATTCGTCAAGACACTTCTATACAGCTTAAAGCGACAATTGAAGGCTTAATTAGGTTAACTACTAGGCAGGTTAGGGTATTTAGGCAAGTTATTGTATATCGATGGTTTGTTCTGTAGACTATTGAACAAAATATATAGCTTAAAGGTGCTAATAATTTTGACATTAAAATTTTGTTTAAAAATGTTAAAACTGCTTTTATTCTAGCTGTAATAAAACAATTAAGACTTTCTCCTGAAGAAAAAATATTTTCAGGCATAAATTTCCTTACTCTGTAAAACATAATTTGGGCTAATAATTCTGACTTTAACTGTGTATAGAGAGAGTATAAAGTTTTATATGTATTAACAGTAAAACTGACATAGATTGGGTTTAATTTTTTACTATGGTATTATTGTGTTGTACTGTACATGTGCTCAGCGATCACTTCATGTAAGCAAAGCTTACATCATTCATAAATAAGCAGATTCAATTAATTTGCCCTTTAATTCCGTCAAGACCTTTGACTGCTGAAAACCTCAACACTGCAGATAAATTGGGTTTCACATAATGGGCTCTAGTGTATCTGAGCGGCCTAATTTTAGCGATGTAAATATCTGAGCTGAGTCAATGGAGCTCCTCTTCTCCTCGCATTACTGTTCTCGTGGAAAAGCCATGCTGTAACCATAACATTATTACTTCACTTTAAACACACGGCTCAGGAGAGCTGAAAGAGTCCTGCAAAACCAAATGGAGGTTGTGTTTGATTATTTTTTCGGTGCTCTCCTGTGGCGGTCCGGAGTTAGAAATATCTGATGTGTGTGACAAAATGCATTTAGATGACGATGAATCAAGTGAATAAGAATAATGTTTATCTTACTGTGAAATATAAACTGGTTTTCAAAAAAATCTTGGAGATAAAAAAGGAAAAAAATGTATAATTTCATGTCATAGTTTAGTGAAAAGCAGAATTAAAGAGGTCGCTTAGTATAATTGCTGCATGTGCTATACAGTATATGATATATACCCTCATTTTTCTTTTTCTTTTTTCTCTCAAGTTCCTTTATTATCCGTACCTGTGGCAAAGGTTCTGGGAAGTTGAAGGGATTTCAAATAAGCTGTCAGTCATTTGGAAAGGGCCAGGCTGGACTCCAGGAAAACCAAGGCTGGGAGACATCTCTGATATACCTCAGGTGGAAAATAGGTTTTTATTTCTATTTCTACTCCACTATATCAGGATATTATATGTTATGTTAATTTACCAGCTGAAGCACCAGGACACCAAGTAGCATCATGATACTCATGTATAGTTTTACACTCATCGGCCACTTTATTAGGTACACCTTACTAGTACCAGGTTGGACCCTCTTTTGCCTTCAGAACTGCCTTAATCCTTCGTGGCATAGATTCAGCAAGGGACCTGAAATTTTACTCAGGCATTTTGGTCTAAGTTGACATGATAGCATCATGCAGTTGCTGCAGATCCTCTACTGTATTGATATCTGGTGACTGGAGGCCATTTGAGTACAGTGAACTCATTGTCATGTTTAAGAAACCAGTCTGAGCTTTATGACATGGCACATTATCCTGCTAGACCTAATAAAGTGGCCGATGTATAATTTAAACCTGCGAAAATTAATATAAATACCTGTGGTTGAAATAAATTTAAAATTCTAAATACTGTAGCAATACAGATGTGGACACACAAATTCCATCTAAAATGAATGCAGGTTGACAGCAGGATTTTGGGTTTTTTGGAAATCTAATAAAATTTATACATTTCTAGAAGTAAAATTAAAGTAGTTTGACATTTAAAAAAAAGTCTATACATATTTTAAGGATACATGATTAATGGGTAATATGATAGAAATGTGTATTTAATTGATAAACTACATAATGTAGACAAAAATCAGGGGTCTGTCTTGCTTTTGGGACTTGTGGAGCTGCACATCAATGGATTTGCTCTTCAGTGTTTGGACTTTCAGCAGTGGAAAATTAAACTACATTAAACTGAACTAAACTAAACTTCAATTTTAATGGGTTTCAATTTTAGTTATGTTAACTGCTTTGACATAATCTACATTGTAAAATCTCTATGGAAATAAGCATGAATTGAATTGAAAAAAGAATTGAAAAAGAAAGAAAGAAAAAAAGAAAGAGAAAGAGAGAGAGAGAGACAGAGAGAGAGAAAGGACCATCAGTTATGCATAAAATTGATAAAAAGTATAAACTACAAATATGGTTGAACATAAAACCCTAAAATAACATAACACAGATTACACAAATATAATTTCAATTCAGAAATCAATTACATTTGAAAATCCATGACAGCAGAAAGCACATGCAATTTAAAGGTATTTGTAATTTAAGATTATGAATAGTTTTTTCATTATTAATGTTTATCACTGTTGTGATAAAAAAAGAACATTAAAGATTTTCAAAACCAAAAGTCTTACCAATCTCAAACTGTTAAAAGAACCTTCATTTTATTGACCATTGTGAAAAAAACAGTATCTTTAAATATTTTATGTACCCTACCTTTCAAACGCTCCCGAACAGCATAAATCACACAACCAATAGTTGAATATTGAGTTGGGGGTGGGGCTATTATTTTTCTTTAACCAATGAGAATCCACCTGTAGAACACACCCTTTCCTCGCTTATGCATCAGACACTTTGTGATCAACACTCCACGTTTCCGGGAAAACATCTTGAAATTCTTAGTGTGTTCATGTAGGTGAGTAAACTTGATAAACCACCTGAAGTTGACTCTTTTTCCTCCCCATATGCACCAGACACCTTATAAACACCTCTTCACTTTTTGGAAAATGTGCAATTCTAAAAGTGCTCCACAAAAATTAGTGGGTTTGACGAACTACCTGTACAGTAAGACACACACTCTCTTAATAAACGACTTGTCTTAGCACTTACACACACTGGCCACTTTATTAGATACACTTGTCCAAATGCACATTAACGTTAATTTCTAATCAGCCAATCGCATGGCAGCAACTCAATGCATTGTCATTTAGTCATGGTCAAGACAATCTGCTGCAGTTTAAACCGAGCATCAGAATGGGGAAGAAAGGTGATTTAAGTGACTGAATGTGGCATGGTTGTTGGTGCCAGATGGGCTGATTTGAGTATTTCAGAAACTGCTGATCTACTGGGATTTTCACGTACATCAATCTCTAGGGTTACAGAGAACGGTCTGAAAAAGAGAAAATATCCAGTGAGCGGCAGTTCTGTGGGCACAAATGCCTTGATGATGCCAGAGGTCAGAGAAGAATGGCCAGACTGGTTCCAGAAAGGCAACAGTAACTAAAAAAAAAACACTCGTTACAACTGAGGCAGAAGAGCATCTCTAAAAGTACAACTCGTTGAAAAAGGGGTGCAAAAGGGGCTCCAACCTGGCACTACTGTAGTAAGTTGTACCTAATAATGTGAACGGTGAGTGTACTGTATATGCCTCTGCTCTCTGATGATTTGAAGTGCTTCTTTTATCCTCGCTTGTAAGTCTCTTGGTTAAAAGCATCCGCTAAATGAGTACATGTAAAGTAAAAGTAAATGGAATGAAAAGTAGAGTTAGTACTGAGTAAAATGATTTGAAACTGTTTCAGTAGTTCAATTTCCATTAGCGGTCCTGAATATTTCACCTCCACCTTTAAAATTGGAAACTCTTTTGTTCCTTGGTATCCTTGTCGTTTACTACCTGCCGTTTTTGCAACAGGAAAAAAAGGTCTCGCAAATGACTCCCTGAGTTCTCACATAAAAACAGACTCTCGTTTCAGACAGGCTTTACAAGAGTGCGCCATCGCCAAATGAATCTTAACCGCCTTTGTGGGCTGCAAGCACAATAGGCTCATTTTCACTCGTCTTTAAAAAGGCCAGCTTTTTTGGGCCCGATCAAACAGCAGGCCCGCAACAAGATTTGAAGTCTTCTCATCAGGAGAGCGGCGGTTTGCTTTGAAACACGTCTGACTACTTCCAAACGCAGTTTCACACTCGGTCTTTCTCTCTCTCTTTTTGCCGCTTTCACCATGTTAAAATTAAAGCCACCTCAAAGAGGGCCCTGGTGATCCTAAACATGTGGAGAGAGCAGGAATTTGACAGAAATATCTTGAAAGAGCCTCGGTGATGCAGAGCGGGGTGTGCCTGTTGTTTCTCCTGCGCAGTGGAGGAGAGGTGGATGTGTTGATTTCTGAGGGAAAGCAGAAGCAGACTCCAGGGTGCTGGTGTGAGGGAAACCCACATGTGTCTGAAGCCTAGACGGACTCGGGATTTCTTTGGAAATCAACAGTGACCGAAATTCTCAGTGATTCATGCTCAAAACAAATTGATGTATGCAGCAAAGTTATTTTAGGGTGGGATCCAACAGTGATGCAATTTTGTAATGTGCTGTAATTTTATTAGGAAGTATTGGATTGCTCAAATTTAGCCCTGGAATGTTTCCGTGGTATAGTTATGTAGTTAGACAATTTCGCTTAGCCACTTCATGTTGAAAAAAAAAATGTTTGTTACTGTGGCGAGACGAGGGATAAAACATGAACATTCAAACAGAAATGGTGTAACGACCCAGAGGGTGATTTATTTACAGTGCAAGGTAAGGAGGTGAGGGTAGGGTAGCTGTGCAGGTATGCGTCCTTTGGCCGGGTAATGTGGAAAGTCTTCAGTGCTGATGAAGGTTTGGATGGTTGAAAACAGTCTGAGGTGCCGGTCTAGCCACTGCTATCTGCTGGGGAAAACAGAGAAAGGAGCATTAGCGTGTCTTCTCGGAGAGATCAAGCTCACCCTGTGTCTTCTCTTTCTCTGTTTATATGCTCCAGTCTTAATGAGCTGCAGGTGGCGATTGGTGCTGATGAGGTGACAGGTGTTGGTGGTTTGTACTTGTGGCGACGCTGCATTGGAACACTTGCCACATTCCCCCCCCCCCTTTGTCTCTTCCTGGTCTGAGTTGTCATCCTGTTGTGAAAGAAGGGAGCGGTTAGGGGTGTGTGGGAGGGAGAATGTTTTGCCAGACCTGTCCATCCAGACCACATCCTTGAGAGGCCGTCTGCATTCCCATGGGCGGCCCCGGCTCGATGTTGGACTTTAAAGTGGAAGTCTTGGAGCGCTAGGAACCACCTGGTGACGCGGGCATTTGTATTCTTTGCCGAGGCCATCCATTGAAGGGGCGCATGGTCAGTCACCAGGGTGAAGGACCTTCCCAGGAGGTAGTATTTCAGCTCCAGGACTGCCCACTTTATTGCCAGGGCCTCTTTCTCAACGGCTGCGTACTTGGATTCCGCTGTGGTGAGCTTCCGACTCACGTAGACGACTGGGTGCTCCTCTCCCTCGTGTAGTTGTGACAACACCGCACCCAGTCCAGAGTCGGAAGCATCAGTCTGCAGGATGAAGGGGCAGTTGAAGTCAGGGGCATGAAGAATGGGTGAGGAGGCCAGGGCCTTCTTAAGGGTCTGGAATGCATGTTCAGCCACAGGGTTCCAGGTGACTCTTTCTGGCTGTCCCTTCTTTGTCAGGTCTGTCAATGGGCTGGCTACGGAAGAGAAGTTGGGGATGAAACATCGGTAATAACCCGCTAACCCCAAAAAGGCACGTACCTGGGACTTATTGGTAGGCCGGGGAGTCTTCTGTAGAGCCTCTACTTTGGCTTGCTGCGGTTGGATCAACCCCCGACCAATGTGATATCCCAGGTACTTTGCCTCTGCAAGCCCGAGATGACATTTCTTGGGGTTAGCTGTGAGCCCAGCCCGTCGTAACTCTAGGAGCACCCTCCGCAGAGGGGTAAGATGTTCCTCCCAACACATCAAGTGGACTACTACGTCGTCAAGGTAGGCCGCGGCATAACTTTGGTGGGGCCGGAGCAATATGTCCATCATTCGTTGGAACGTTGCCGGTGCCCCATGCAGCCCAAAGGGAAGGACCCGGTAATGCCAATGGCCGCTAGGAGTGGTAAAGGCGGTTTTCTCTTTTGCCCCTGGGGCTAGCGGAACTTGCCAGTAACCTTTGGTCAAGTCGAGGGTGGATATGAACCTGGCACTACCGAGTCTGTCCAGGAGTTCGTCCACCCGAGGCATTGGGTACCCGTCGAAGCTGGATGCTTCATTTAGCTTCCGGAAGTCATTACAAAATCGGAGGGTGCCATCCGGTTTTGGGACCATGACAATGGGGCTGGACCACGGGCTCCGAGATG